TGTGTGTGTGTGTGTGTGTGTGTGTGTGTGTGTGTGTGTGTGTGTGTGTGTGTGTGTGTGTGTGTGTGTGCAAGCAAGAGAGAGAATTTTGGGATAGTTGTTTTCAAAAATACAGTGAGAATGGCTAAAAGCGATTCGTCCAGAAAAAAAACACTGATTTGGTGTCCCCAAGTAGGCTACGAGAAAATAATACCGAAAGTAGAGTGAGAGCACTTTATAAATAGACATGTTTGCACACCGTTCAATAATCCACATTTAGACCCAGTCTAACCATCTGTTCTGCCTTTATCCCCCTTTTAAAATCATTTTCGTTGCCCAGAGCACAGAGGCAATAAGCTCCTATTCAAAACTTCCCAGGAAACCTTTCTGTTTTTCTTACCCACTCCACCGCTCCACCTGGGACACGTCACTTAACATGCATCGACTCACCTCCTAGAGTCAAGAAGCCTGTCCAGCCCGTCATTCTCCGTGGCCATTGTTCATAAATGAGAGCCATATGTGCTGTGGCCAGTGTTGGTCATAAACACACACACACTAGTAGTGATTCCTGCTTCTGTGAGTGTGTGAAACTCACACACTGCTCTGCACTGTGTCTTTTTTATCATTACTGCATGTGTCAGTGTTTGAGTGATTATACAAAAGTGCCTGTGGATGTGGACCTCTATGTTTTTTTTCCGAGCGTCGTGCCAAGCGTGCGTGCTCCCACGGCCACAGCTGGGCACAACGAATGGAATGTGTGTTTCTCAGCAGGGCTGTTTCGGCCATTATTATTAAACATCTGGCTGCAGCACATTAATTTCCCCACTCTGACGCATCCCTCTCTGCCCAGGGATCACTTAATTGAAATCCATAATGACACTTTCTTTTCTTCTTTCCCACATTGGGCAAAATGAAACAAGAAAATGAATTTTAGATGAAAATGATATTTGAATCAGCTTTTGTCTGATAATCTTCAGACAGCTGTATATGTTTTTGCACCAATTGGCACCATTTGTAGGATATAAATGGTAAAAACAATGAGGATCATAGCAACTTAATTGGGTTTTTCTCACACATTTAATTTAAACACATTTTTGCAATTATTATCTGCTGTTTAAAACACACATTAGTTTTATAAGAATTAGTTGCATAAGAATAAAATGCGCTGACATTTATTTATTGACTTTTTCAATTAGAAAGTTAAACTATTTAGTATATTTTCAACCTTGTCTGGTAATTTAATCAAACAGTTTACTAAATTATTGCAAAATTATAAGAGTTAAGAACTTTGGAAGTGTACCATATATATTGTATCTGATGTGTCATATCTTGTATGAAACAAAGATTCTACCAGATTCATAGGAAAACAAACAAAACACTGATTAAATTTTAAAACGGTATCATAATCGTTTAAGCTTTTTTTGAGAGTTCTATGTTTAATGATTGAAAGTTATATTATGTTAAGCCACTAGTAGAAAAACATCCCTGCTGATCCATCTAATCTGATCTACAATTAAGTCAGACATAAATATTGTTTGGAGATCTCCTTGACTTTTTTTACTTCTTGTTTCTCTTATTGTCAAATTTAGATAGCTGTTCTGAGTATGTAGATTTTTTAATGTAAATTAAAGATCTCATTCTAATCAAACATTTTTATCAACTGTAGTTTTTAAAAATTGTATGTCTACATTTGAAATATAAAATTTTCTGAATGTAAAGGCGTTTAGTGC